GGAGTTTACTTAAACTCATGCCCATTGAGTCAGTAATGTCATCCAGCCATCTCATGCTCTGTCGTCCCCTTCTCCTCCTGTCCCCAGTCCCTCCCAGCATCAGGGTCTTTTCCAGTGAGTCAACTCAAGTCTTGTCTGACTCTTTGTGTCCCTATGGACTGCAGTATGCCAGCCTCCTCTGCCCTCCAATGTCTCCTCGAGTTTGCTCAAATTCACGTCCACTAAATTGGTGATGCTATCTAACCATCTTATCCTCTGCCACCCTCTTCTCCTTTTGCCTTCAATCTTTCCTAGCACCAGGGTCTCTTTTAGTGAGTTGGCTCTTCGCATCAGGTAGCCAAAGCATTGGAGCTTCAGCTTCAGCATTAGTTCTTTGAAAGAAAATTCAGGGTTGATTTCCTCTAGGACTGACTGGCTTGATACCCTTGCTGTCCAAGGGACCCTCAAGAGTCTTCTCCAACACCACAATTCAAAAGCATCAATTCTTCATTGTGCAGCCTTCTTTATGGTCTGACTCTTATGTACAATGGCTACTGTACATAATGTACAATGGCTACTGGAAAAACCATAGCTTTGACAATTCAACTCTGTCGGCAAAGTAATGCCTCTGCTTTTTAATATGCTGCAAAGGTTTGTTATAGGTTTTCTCCAAAGCAGCAAGTGTGTCGTTTAATTTCATAGCTGCAGTCACTGTCTGCAGTGATTTTGGAGCCCAGGAAAATAAACTCTGTCCCTGTTTCCATTGTTTCCTCATCTATTTGCCATGAAGTGATGGGACTGGATGCCATGATCTTAGTTTTCTGAATGCTGCATTTTAAGCCAGCTTTTTCACTCTCCTCTTTCACTTTCATCAAGAGGCTCTTTCCTCTTTGCTTTCTGCCATAAGGATAGTGTCATCTATGTATCTGAGGTTATTAACATTTCTCCTGGCAATCTTGATTCTAGCTTGTGCTTCATCCAGCCTGGCATTTTGCTTGATCTACTCTGCACAGAAGTTAAACAGGATAACAATATATAGCCTTGACATACTGCTTTCCCAATTTTGAGATGGTCTGTTGTTCCATGTCCAGTTCTACCTGTTGCTTCTTGACCTGCATACATGTTTCTCAGGAGGCAGTAAGGTGGTCTGGTATTCCCATTTCTGTAAGAATTTTCCACAGTATGCTGTAAGCCACATAGTCAAAGGCTTTAGCATAGTCAATGAAGCAGAAATAGATGTTTTCCTGGAATTCTCTTGCTTTTTTGATCATTCAACATATGTTGGCAATTTGATCTCTGGTTTCTCTGCCTTTTCTAAATCCAGTTTATACATCTGAAAGTTCTAGGTTCATGTATTGTTGAAGCCTAGTTCGAAGGATTTTGAGCATTACCTTACTAGCATGTGAATTAAGGGCAACTGTGGAGCAATTTCAACATTCTTTGGCACTGCCTTTCTTTGGGGTTGGAATGAAAACTGAACTTTTCCAGTCCTGTGGCCACTGCTGAGTTTACCAAATTTGCTGGCATATTGAGTACAGCACTTTAATAGCATAGTTTTTTAGGATTTTTAACAGCTTAGCTGGAATTCTATAACCTCCACTAGTTTTGTTTGTAGTAATGCTTCCTAAGGCCCACTTGATTTCACACTCCAGGATGTCTGCCTCTAGGTTTGTGACCACACCATCGTGGTTATCTGTGTCATTAAGACCTTTTCTGTATAGTTCTTCTGTATGTTCTTGCCACCTCTTCTTAATATCTTCTGCTTCTGTCAGGTCCTTCCCATTTCTGTCCTTTATTGTGCCCATCTTTGCATGAAATATTCTCTTGGTATCTCTAATTTTCTTGAAGAGATCTCTAATCTTTCCCATTTAATGTTTTTTAAGTGAGGTAAAAATTAACTTTAAAAACTGCCCTAAGAATAATGAGAAGAGATCTGCTAATAGTTATATGTTTGGGGGACATTAATTATTTAATTCAGAGAGACTTGACAAGAAAAACAGATTATTTACAATTCCTGGTTGCCTTATTTAGTAGTTTAATCAGATAACTGTTAGTTTTATAAATATCTTTTAAGCATGATGATTCCCAAATAATTAGTCAATACAAAATAAAATGATCCTTAAAGCTTCCTACCTTCATTTCCAAATTTTGTCTTTCCAAATAACATGTGTGTATGTGCTTCGTTGCTCAGTCGTGTCTGACTTTGTGACCCCATGGACTGTAGCCCACCAGGCTCCACTGCCCATGGAAGTTTCCAGGCAGGAATACTGGAGTGGGTTGCCACGCCTTTCTCTAGGGGATCTTCCCAACCCAGGGACTGAACCCAGGTCTCCCACACTGCAGGCGAATTCTTTACCATCTGAGCCACCAGGGACCAAGAATACTGGAGTGGGTAGCCTATCCCTTCTCCAGCGGATCTTCCTGACCCAGGAATCGAACTGGGGTCTCCTGCATTGCAGGTGGATTCTTTACCAGTTGAGCTACCAGGGAAGCCCAATAGAATGTATATAAACTTTAAAATCAATCTTGATCTTGATGTCTCTGGTGTTAAAGTTAAGGTTTTAATGTGTCCTCAAAAGATAGGTTGAAATATGTATCCCTCAGAGTGTAGCGTTATGTAAATTAGGTAAAGATGCCTATCTGGTGTAGGGTAGGCTCTTAAAGTGATTTTAACTGGTATCCTTATAAGGAGCTTCCCCGGAGGCTCATAAGATAAAGAATCCGCCTACAATGCAGGAAACCTGGGTTCAAATCTCTGGGTCAGGAAGGTGCCCTGGAGAAGGAAATGGCTACCCACTCCAGTATTCTTCCCTGGGAAACCTCATGGACAGAGAAGCCCGGCAGGCTACAGTCCATATGGTCACAAAGAATCAGACATGACTGAGTGACTAACACTTTCACTTATAAGAAGAGGGAAATTTGGACAGAGACACAGGGGAAGGTGGCCACGTGAAGATGGAGGCAGAGACTGAAGTTATACCGCCACATGCCAAGGAATGCTTGAGGCTACCAAAAACTGAAAAAGCAAGAAAGGACTCTCCTGTGGGAGAGTTTCAAGGGAACACGGCCCTGCTGGCACCTTGATTTCAGACTTCTTCTAGCCTCTTGAACTGTGAAAGAATATATTTCTATTATTTTAAGCCATCTAGTTTGTGATAATTGTTATGGCAGCCCTAGGAAACTATTGGGGCCTCCTTAGTGGTTCAGTGATAAAGAACCCACCTGACAATGAATGAGACTCAGGTTCAATCCTTGGGTTGAAAAGATCCTTTGGAGAAGTAAATGGCAACCCACTCCCAGTATTATTGCTTGAGAAATCCCAGGGACAGAGGAGCCTTGTGGGCTACAGTCCATGGGGTCGCAAAAGACTCAGACATGACTTAAAGACTAAATCACAAGAGACTTTTTATCTTATTTAATACTCTCTTGGCTCCCATATTTCTTGGGTTACAGAAAATAATTATGTATTAGAATTTCTAAAGATCTTGTTGCAGCGAGTTCTTTACCACTAAGCCATCAGGGAAGCCCCATAAATGCACAATAGGGGTAATATTACTCCTAGAGAGGCAAAAATTGACTCTTGGGAGTGGGAAAAAAAACAACAACTCGGTTATTAAAATACTTTGTGGCCCTCCAAAGCTCAACTCTATCCAAAAAATTCTTACTCATTAGTACTTAATTTCTCTCATTAGGGAGAAATTTAATTAATTTAAATTTTCCTTAGGGACAATGATAATCGGAAAGAAAGCTGAGAAACACAAATCTATACTTTATTCTGAAGCAGCTAAATCTGAGGAAAGAAAATGATGAAATAATCTCAGTGTTTGGAAATAAGAAGTAATAGATGTTCTAATTTTTCTAATGTTCTAATTTTCTTCAAGAAGAAAGGCTAGGAAATGGTAGCCCAAGAATTTCAGAAGAATGTGATATCTCTTTTCCCCATGTAAAAGCAAGATCAACAAATTTTATTTTTAAGGCAATTATTGCTTCTGAAACAGATAAGGATGTCAGAAAACATCAGTTAACTAAGGGATGACTGCTCAGCTTTATTCTAATCAGAAAATCATGTTGCTTGGGGCAAACGAACTGCCTTCAATCCCAATATCTTTCTCACGATTTTTCCCCTTTTCAGAAAGGAATATCTTTATCCATATGTGAAATCCCTTTTTCTGTCCTATTATCTTGTATAATTTCCACAGACAAATTGCTTTCCTTTCTCCACTCTATTTGCATAGGGAAAAAGTGAAACAACCATGATGTCAAGAAAAGTCAAATGACTTGGGCTTGCTCCAAACTATCAAGAAATGAGTAGCACAACACAGGTCTCTCTGCTTTAAGACCAGGCACTTTCAACCATAATTTATTGGTAGTGTGCCTACGTTTAGATTCTGTAATTGATTTCTTCCTATTAGAGTGCCCTAATCAACTGTGTGTCTGCCAAACTTATTAAAAATAAATGAGAAAACAAAAAGAAAAGATAATCAGCTTCTAAAAATGGGCAAATAAAAAATAGGCATATTAAAATCACATGAAAAGTTAAAAAGAAAGAAAATTTCCTATAATAAAAAAGTCATAAAAAGCAAGAACAGTTTATGGAAGATGTTAATAAATGATAAAATACAAAATTAAGCTGCTTTTTTATGGTAAAAGACAATTTTTCTGTATTTAAACTAAAAGCTTCAAAACCAATTTTGAAACATTGATTAGAATATTACTAAAAAGTATTCACAATAATGTGATAAAAACATATTTGAATATTAAAGACAATGACATGTGTTTTCACTGCATAAAATGTTAAAATTATTTGTCTACTTTAATAGTGCATTCATTCAGTCAATTGCTATGGAAGATCAATTCCTTATATAAATCACTTCTTCAAATCCACAAAACTCATATTCAGTCATTTAGTTAAGTTTGGCAAATTTTCATCAGAAAATTCCACATCTCCAACATTAAAGGTTTTCCCTGGTAGCTCAGATGGTAACGGAGAAGGCAATGACNACTCTTTAATTTTTATCCACCATTTGTTTTTCTTTCTAATGTAGTCTTTTTCAGAAAGATTAACCAAGTAGACCATTGGTTTTGAAGTCAGAAATAAGTGTTTATTCAATACTTCAATCTCTTTGTCATTCCAATCATGATAGAATTGAACAGGTTTCTTTTGATCTATAACCCAGGATTTGACTTTGCACATTATGTCATATTCAGGTTTTAGTTTTTTATCTCCTCCTCTCACAGCCACTTTCTCTAGTTTATCTATAATGGGCCCAATCATTTCCTCATCTTTAAGCTGAAGCTCTTCATGTATTATTTCTATATCTCGAACAGGATCTACACTTCCTTCAACATGTGTGATATCATCATCTTCAAAAGCACCTAAAATAAATTAAAGCAAAGCAATTCAATAAACAAATAACACAGAAGGTCATTATTAGAGTGAGTCAAGATTCCTAGAAGGTTAACAATTTACTCAAATTATTCTGAATTCTTACAAGTAAGACAGAGTATTTTTTTTTCTGATTTCATATTATTTAGGGCACTATCAGTAAAATAATAATTCAAGAGCTTCAACATTTCAAAAACTGATTGAAATAAATAAAATTATGATTTTTACAGAAAGAAAATTATGCTCCAGAACTACCGGTATTTTCAGGTTTGGTACATTAAAAGATACTGTATTCCAGGCATGAGAGTCTAAAGTTCTAAACTGCACTATTAGGGTTTCCAAGGGAAACCGGATTTGGGGGGGGGGGTGTGAAATCATCTGGCAGACCTCTTTCCTGCTTCAATCTACTTTATCACTGTGGTTCTGACGGTGATTAGATAATGAACCACTCAGACACACAATTTACACAGCAGCTAATTTCATCGGCCTGATTTGAGGGTATGGTTTTTAGGGGGCTATCAAAGAAGCAGATGAAGGTGCATTTGTCATATGTGAGTGACAACCATTCACACTATCTGAACAAAATGGTGCTGGCCCTTATTAGAAACACATGCTATTATCACATATTTAAAGTGCAGTTGAAGCCATAATTTCAAATTGCCAACTGGAAACATAAGGGTAAAACAACCAGATATTACTGAAGCATGTGTACTGACTTTATGCCCTTTTGAAGACATAATGTGGCAACATAATTCAGCTGGGATTTACTCAAATTATCAGATAACAGTATCACAAAAATGAACAAATACTAAGAAATATTATAAACAGAAAGCAATGGTATATCCTCAGAACAATAAACACATTTATAACAAATTCATTTAATTAAAATTACCAATTAGATTATATTCCCAAAATGAGATGTTTTCAAACATAAAGGATCAATTATTTTAGATAGAAGGTATCACAGGAATCATTAAAGACAGATTGAGTTTGATAAGAGGAAAAACAGTGACTATAGCTCATTCTTACATATTAGAAGACCAAGACATTCTCATTGTAGGTGCAAAGTTTTTAAATATAATTTCCCAGAATTAAGACATAATTGATCTGCTCATATCTTAATGTGGAATTATTTGGTAATAATAAATTTAAAGCAAATTATTAAAATTAAGTATAAGTATTTAAATTAATACTTAAGTATTACTGGCAATCAATGTTATACAGTATCTGATTCACATGAACAAAATTAAGTTAGAAATGAGGAGCTACATTATATCCTACTAATAAACACACCAGACAATGGTTTAGGTAAATTTTCTGAATATCCTAAAAGTATGAAAAAATTCTCCCTGGAAGCACAATATTAACTTCTTATCATCATGAGGCAACTTATACAAATAACACAATAAAACAAGAAAACTGAAAATAAAGGTTAGTTTCTTGGCAGTCAGATCAACAAAGGAAACATGGTCAGTTCAATTACAGAAATAAAAAACTTATGACACTTAGAATGAAATATTTCTTACAAAGCCATCTTGATGTAGGGGCTAATGAGTAATTATAGTGATATCCTTAACAACATTCCTAAAGTAAATGCATCAGCAGATTTTAAATGGCAATCTATTCATTTCAGCCCTCAATTTTAACCAAGTAGACAATAGAAATTGAACTCCACTGTTGTTCCCATGCTTGACAGTATCACTATTTTATTCATTTATTTATGAGGTGGAAACATATTATGCAAATAACAAGTTCATTTTTTAAAATATTGCCAAAAATTAAAATAAAAATTAAGTGAAGGGAACATTAGAGTTATCTTCAAAACTGAATAGCCCTGGGATCAACTGAGGTCTAAAAGAGCTGTAAAATACAAGCTTACAGAAAATTCGGTGGCCATTTGGACAACTTCCCATCCTTTTTTTTTTAACAGCCAGATAGATATATTTTATTTATTTATTTATTTTTAAAATGAATTTATTTTAATTAAAGGCTAATTACTTTAGCCATGCCAAACATTGACATGAATCAGCTATAGGCATACATGTGTTCCCCATCCTGAACCCCCCTCCCACCTCCCTCCCCATCCCATCCCTCTGGGTCATCCCAGTGCACCAGCCCTGAGCACCCTGT